TAGTCACATAACACCATCACTATCCTTAGAAATGAAGCAAAATAAAATACTTTTCTCAAAGGGGTTGTGCTTATTATAATTCACTGTATTTTCTGGTCTCTGATTTGTGACCATTGGTATACCCAAAGGCAAATGCGAAGCATTTGATTATTTTATGATTAACTAATGAGCAGTTACAACTAACGGGCAATATATTAACTCTAGGAAGTTAGAGTAAGGTCAACAAAATTGTTCTAAGGAAAAAAGGGAAAATTAATATGGAATAAGAGTAGAAATTCATAAAATATAAAACATTAAAAAATAAAGCAAATTAATGGTAGTATTGGTTATATTAAAAGATCAATACAACTGATATATACCTGATAAGGGAAATCAAAGAAAAGAAGTAAATAAAGTATTAATATGAATGATATCATTATGTATATATCATCATATCTCCAAATAGTAAAAAGAATAGTACCTATCTCATAGGTATAGGGTAATTTCTATGAAGATTAAATGATATAATATTTAATAGAACTGTTAGACTAGAGACTGATGCATAAGAAGCATATAGTAAATATTTAGTAGTAGTGGTAGTTGTATTAACTACTTACTAGTAATAGTGCTAGTTGTGTTACTATTTCCTAGATAGTATTAATATCATTGGTATTATTAAAATATTATAAGAATACAAAATAAAACTATTTCATCATTAAGAATCTGAAATATACAGTTTTTTGGGAAAATATAAATGACCAGCATAGAATTAGTACATTTGAGTAGCTTGACAGTTATGGGGGAAAAATGTAAACCAAAAAATAACCCATTAAAGGCATAGGTCCCAGACATTTTCATGGGCAAATTCTTTTAAATTTTATTTAGAAATCTTTGATGTTTGCTTTTATTTTGAAATATAACTCTTTAAAGTACACTTTAAAATGCTCAGTAGAACAAATAGTAATAAAGCAAGCAATCTTATCACTACTGTTCTGTCAAGAATAGACTCTGTGATCCCTTCTCCCACTTCCATGCACAGTACTCTTGGAAGGAACTGCTGTATTGACCTTTTTGGTAATAAATGCTTAGCTTTTCTTTTTTGTTTTATGTCTTCTGTGTACATCCCCTGGACACTATGGTGTAGTTTTGCCTATTTTTGTAGATTATATAAATGGAGTTACATAGTACATATCAGGAATGAGAAAATCCTGCTGACTGTCATTGCTACTCCCAGAATAAAATGAAGCATGATGAGACCTCCAAGGGAAGTCATAGGAAACTTTATTTAGAGACATTAAAGAAGGCCTAATAAATGGAGAACTGCTCCATGTTTATGGATTAGAAGAGTCAATATTGTAAAGACAGCAAAAGGAGAGCGTGAAACATTTCACCTTAAGTGAAATTGAGGAAGTTTTATCCTAACATACTAAGAATTTTTACCATGAATGAGTGTTGAGTTTCATCAAACACTTTTTGCATCATTGTAATGATCTTATAAATTTCTTCTTGAGATGATCTTATGATATTCTTCTTTTATTTTATCAACGCAAAAATATATGTTAATTTTCATATATCAGCCTGGTATTTCTGAAATAAAATTGTCTATTCTAGATATGCTGCCTTTATTAATATTTTCTTTAGGATTTTTCCATTTTTTTTCATGAGTGAGATTTACTTGTATTTTTTTCTTTCTTCTAACATCCTTTGTTGAGCTTTGTTGTTGTAAGGTTATGCTGTCCTAGTAAAATGAGTGAAGGAGGATTTTCTTTTTATTCTGTTCTCTGAAAGAATTTGTGTATGATTGAAAGTTTGTATTCTTTGAACTATGTTTCATGAAAGTAATATTCCAGTGAGTGAATTTGACAGTAAATAAGATGAATATGTAAAATACATAGTAAAATAGTGGTAAGTGCTAAGGAGAAAAAATACATATAACAGCTATGAAATGTTTGGGCAGAGTGTTGAAACTTCAGCTCCAGTGGCCAGAGAGTATCACCGACAAGATGATTACCAGTGAAGAGTTGGCAGAAAAGCCCTGGCAAACAAATTCAGAGGTTCTAGGGCTGGCGAAACAGCAAGAAGATCATTGTGGCTGGAGGAGAGAGAACACGGCCAAGAGAGGATAAGGCTGGGCTCTCGCTATAACATTTCAGACCCTCAGGTCATAGTGAGCACTTTGGACCTTATCCTGAGATGGGAGGCCATTGGAGACTTTAGAACAAAGGAATCACATTGTCTGATCCACCTATTAACAACATATACTCTGTAGTTTGTTGAATTTCTAGGGGATTTCTAGGTGAATTAGGGAAGAAGTGGGTCTGGTAGCTAGGAGACAGTTACAGTAATTCAAACAAGGATGATAGTAGCTTGGACCATGATGGCAGCTGTTGGGGTGGTGAAAGTGATGAAATTTTGTTTGAAGAGGTAGTAGGAATTGCTGACAGATAACGAGGTAAAGCCTGGAAGAAAAGAGTCAAGAATGGATCCAAAGTTTTTTGTCTTGAGCAACTAGAAGAATATATCAGTCATTACTACAGATTGGGAAGACATCAGGAAGAGCCCTTTCAGGCAGGAAGCCCTTTCAGAAAGGAAGATCAGACTCATGATTTGGGATTTGTTTTAATTGTGAAGATGAGCTCACAAGTAAACTCTTGAGGCCTCATTTTCCTTATCGTGAGATGGAGATAACCATCTTAGACTGACTGCTTTCCTCAAAAGTTGTGAGGTTCAGCTAACATGTATGCCAGGTTTTTAAAAATAATACAGTGCAATTCTGAGAATCTTAGAACAGGCCATGAGCACAGAGTCCAAGAAGAAATGACAGAAAACAATTTGACAGATAAGTGGGGAGAAGATACACTTCTGACTGTAAGTTGTACAGAGAGCCTTGTGAAGAAGCACTGTGACTCAGTCTTGTGGGCCTGGGATGACGCTGTCTGTAGAACTCTCTGAAATGATGAAAACCTTCCGTGATCTGTGTGCTTTCTCATATGTTATCTGCTGGTCACATATGGCTATTCCATGCTTGGCATGTGCAGGCACAAGTGGGGAAATGAATTTTTAACTGTGATTGACTTTGACTAATTAAACTTTTGGTGTAGCCACATGTGGATAGCACCACATTGGTCGGGACAGGAAACCTTGGCAGTGACCATGCTCTGTGCACCTATTAAATTACAGTCTGAGGTAGATTATAATCAAATGTCAATTAAGTTACAATCAGAGGTAGGTGGGGTTTATATTTGCCAAGAGTAAAATGGGTATTAAATTGTTTGATGAACAAAAGGTCAGAATCAGAAAATTGTTAATAGGAGGTACTCAGTGAGGAAACAACATATCCAAACGAGACTGTAAAAGCGGGTCATTCAGACTCATTGACCAGAAGTCTAGACATATCAGCCTCAATGCTTTCTCAGTTCAGCTTTTGTTTCGTAGCTTCTTTGCTGCCCATCACAAAGCATCTTCACTGCTCTCAAGGTCAGAACTCTGGCTCTGTCCTTTGTTGTGAATCTCATCTGGGATTGGTTTATTCTCTTGTAAAGAGATCAAAGATCTGTCTGGGAGGTCCTTTCCTCTTTTAACATTTTAGGAACTTTTAAGGAGATAGCTTGGCTTTCATGAGCTNAGTTCAGCTTTTGTTTCATAGCTTCTTTGCTGCCCATCACAAAGCATCTTCACTGCTCTCAAGGTCAGAACTCTGGCTCTGTCCTTTGTTGTGAATCTCATCTGGGATTGGTTTATTCTCTTGTAAAGAGATCAAAGATCTGTCTGGGAGGTCCTTTCCTCTTTTAACATTTTAGGAACTTTTAAGGAGATAGCTTGGCTTTCATGAGCTGCATTTCAGGGTCTGGATAACAAAGGGTTCTATAGTCAGCTGTCTCCACCTGTAACGGGAATTTCTCTTAGAGTCTTCAGTTCCTGAGTGGCCTTTCAAGGTCTGGGAGTCTTGGTCTACCCTGGCCATTGTTTTCTAGCTCAGAGATATTTTCCAGTAAACATGGAACAATCAATTTGGTGTATTTCCATTTTATTTGTATGCACTAACCAGGTTATTTTAAGGTTATGTATTTTGGGAAACTAATTTGCAGGCTTATATTGTAATGATGAAGGCTTATTTCTCTTTTCATGGTTAATTTGTTCTATCACGTTTTGTGAAAGGTGGTTGGATACTGTCACCCTTCTAGAAGAAAAAGGACTTTCCTGGTGATCCAGTGGTTAAGACTATGCTTCCAGTGCAGGGGGCACAGGGTTGATCTCTCATCAGGGAACTAAGATCGCACATACCACTTGTTGCATTCAAAAAGAAAGAAATTTTAAAAAATNTTATATATGGAATCTAAAATATGATACAGCAGAAACAGACTCATGGACATAGAAAACAAACGTATGGTTACCAAACGGGAAAGCAAGTGAGGGAGTGGTAAATTAGGATTTTGGGATTAGAAGCTACACACTATTATACATAAAATAGGTAAAGAACAAGGTCCTATTGTATAGCACAAGGAACTATGTTAAATATCCTGTAATAAACCATAATGGAAAAGGATATGAAAAAGTATGTGTGTGCACGTGTGTGTAAAACTGAATCACTTTGCTATTCACCAGAAACAAGCTATACTTCAATTTTTTAAAAAGCTAACAGTTTTCATTACATCATGATTTTTATTTGGGATTTTTGTTCTTTGAATGAATTTGGCTAGGAAAGAATTATTGGACTCTGGAGTAAATAGAACAGAATAAATAAAAAGGCATATAAGCAAGTAAGAAAAAATACCATTTTAGTGGGACTTCAGAATGTGAAATAGGTAATTTGGGGAAATCTGAGGTTTCTCCCCTTATTATATGTCTGGGAACAAAGCTATATTTTACCATTTTCATTTGCAAAAGCAAACTATGTCTTGAACTCATACGTCTAAACTAATAGACAACTTGTATCATTTACATTTTACAAAGAGGTGAAGCATTTGACTTCTGATACATAGAAATGTTTTTCATGTTTGTTTGTTCTTTTTTTTTAATAGAGTCCTGTGAAGATAAATCAGGTTAGCCTGGATGAAAGTGGAGAACACATGGGCGTGTGTGCAGAGGATGGCAAGGTATGGGGATTGCCTGATCACATGGAAAGCGCTGCTCTAACCCCAGGGGTTGTGATGTAACCACTTCCAGGGCCTCGGAACAGCACTGCACTTACTGGATATCTGCATTTGGAGAACCTTGATTATTCTTTTTGTGTATCGGACTTACTCCTGATCGCTCATAATTAAAGTAAAATATATTTTGCGCTAATGTGCCGTAAGGAAAAGTAATTACAAGAATGTCAATAATGTGACTAGTATTAAGCTGATTAACAACTGTGGCAGGGGGACATGTCACCTTAATCATTACTGGCGTGCCACTTAGACTTCAGTGACTGGTCTGCAGTTCCTGCAAGACAGTGGTTTAATGCCTCTCTGCCATAAATCCACAAAATTGGATTTTGTGGGCATGATTTCTGTGGGCCTGTGGTTTTCATTTTCACACACCAGTTATGAATGTTTCTCTTGAATTATAGAATCTTTTGATAAGCAGTCATAGTTTATCAGAAGAATAAAGTGTCTTGCAATGGCCACATTAAATAAATGTAAAATCAATATATGTACAGTTTTCTAAAAACCTGGCCCCCACTTCCTCAACCAAGGACATATATCATTTGTGCAGTGTATAACTAACAATTATCAGTGCTTCTTGCTGATGTTGAGCTGTGACATTTAGTGGTTGTGGTGATTGATTTTCCACTTACAAGAATGTCTTTTTTGTTTTTCAGTCAATGAAAGGCTTTTCTAGTGTTGGTTTGCAATGATAAAATTCTAATGCACAGTGTATTTAAGCTACTCTTCTAAAATAACAGTTTAAGAAGAGAATGCATTAAGAATCATTACAGACCCTCACATATTCTTGCCTGCATACAGCAGATTTCCTAATCTAATTTTATGTTTCTTTATGTGATCTAAATTCAATGGTCCATTAGGATGAGTAAATTAAAAACACTGTACTCAGTGTAAAAGATTTATACCCATTTAATCTGTTAACAGAAGAAAAATGATGTCTTCTTGACATACACGGGTGCATTTTGATGTATCTAAGCCTAATGTTGCCCAAAGAGTCTTTTGAAAGTCATTGGAACACTCGTGCTTTTCAAAAAGCACTATCAAATTTTACAGTACTTGCTGAAATTCTGAAATGAACCAGACTGTCAAAAGAGTGATAAGGGAAGAGTTGGTATGTGCAGAAATTGAGAATTATCCAAACTGTTGAAACATTTTTATCGATAATGAAAGATTATCTCCGTTTTTATTTTCTGAAAGGTAAGGGGGAATTCCTTCTGGGTGAATACCAATTTAATTGTTGAAGGAGAATATTGTTTTTGAATTGTAAGAGAACTTTTAGGAAGATACTTCATGTAAGAATTTTCGAAGTTCTAAATTTTGAAGAATTACTATTGGATATGGTGAAGTGGGATATTTTATCTACTGTGTCTGGTGGATAATGAGATGACCCTCAGATATCTCCTGGTGCACTTCTTGGCACACACCTCTGTTTTCCTATTTTAATCAGATTGTAACTGCCATATTTTGCTATAGACCCATGATGCTTTTTTTTTTTTTTGATAACTTTATTTCCTGGCTGTGCTGGGTCTTCACTGCTGCATGGGCTTTCCTCTAGTTGTGGCCAGCAGGGGCTGCTCTCGAGTCGCATGAAGCAGCCATGTGGTGGCTTCTCTTGTGGTGTCAGGGCTCAATAGTTGCGGTTCCCAGGCTCTGGAGCATAGACTCAATAGCTGTGGTACACAGGCTTAGTTACTCCATGGCATGTGGGATCTTCCCAGACCAGGGATTGAACCTGTGTCTCCTGCATTGGCAGGCGAATTCTGTACCATTGAGCCATCAGGGAAGCCCCCATGATGCATTTTAAAAAATAGTTTTCTCATATATTTTACCAGCATTGATAGACTTGGAAAGAAATATTTCAGTGCACATAGTTATGAAACCTAGCCCTCTCCATGGGTTAGTCTGTATTGTGAAAACTGAGGAGCTAATAATATAGCATGATCTGGTGAAGTGGTTAGTGATGATAGCAATGTAAAGATTATTAAAAGGATCAACTCCAGATATCTGGATCTCATGCATCTTTCAATGGCTGTTGTGGTTTTTCTTTCTTTAGTGTGTTAGGATTTCTACAAAAATCACTACCTTCTATTTCAGAGATAACCTTTCATATTTGTATTCAGTTTTAAAGTCCTAATTCTAACAGTTCTTTAAAATTTACTCTGTTCATTCAGCTGGTGCTCATTTCTAATCTTTTACTTCAGGACTTTTTTACCTTTGAGTTCCAAATTTTGAAATACAGTCACACATAGAATATGTGTGTTACCGGCGTTCATTTTTAGGTAACTTTCAGGATAAATACGTACAAGGTTTATTTTCTGATCTTTTGCCTATGTTGACTTCATATATAAACTAGAATTAATTTAATATAGAATTCTGAGTTGAACTATTTTCTCTCAAAAGCTTTGGAGACCCTGCTCTCTTTTGTCTAACCTTTATTTTCATAGACATGTCAGAGGCCAGCCTACTTTGTTCTTTCACAAAACCTTTAAAAATTTTTTTTGTCCTGCCTTGGAGCTCAGACTCATCATAATAACAACAACAATACCAACAACAACACTGAACAGCCCTTGTAATTCAGTTTGCTAAGTTAATGTCTTGTTCAGGTCTATTTTCATTCATTTTGTCTGAAAGAGAGTTAGTCCTTTTGATCTATATACTGAAGTATTGTTTTCATTTCAGGAAAGTTGACTTCAGTCCTGATTTTGATTATTGCTGCAGTTCCACGTGTTTTCATTTCTTCAAAGAAACTCAATAATACTGAGGCTGGAGGCGGTATCGCACAGAGGCTAAGAGCTTCGCTTTGCACCGCACCTGCCCAGGCTCCATTCATTCCCACCCTGCTCTGTTAGGTCAGGGATGTTGCCTGACCCCCAGGCCCCTCCACTGACTCAGCTGGGCAGTGGGCACAGTGCGAGGCTTGGATGGGGATGTGGCAGAGCCGATTTTGTGTGTGTGGGAAGTTCTCAGATCTTTCTGCTTTATTTTGATAACCCTTTTCTTTCTTTTTTTTTTTTTTTAAGTAGTAAATTTTATTTTCTTTTTTTTTTCTTTTTTTTTAATTATTTTTTTTATTAGTTGGAGGCTAATTACTTTACATCATTACAATAGTTTTTGTTATACATTGAAATGAATTAGCCATGGATTTACATGTATTCCCCATCCCAGTCCCCCCTCCCACCTCCCTCTCCACCCGATCCCTCTGGGTCTTCCCAGTGCACCAGGCCCGAGCACTTGTCTCATGTACCCAACCTGGGCTGGTTATCTGTTTCACCCTAGATAATATACATGTTTCAATGCTGTTCTCTTGAAACATCCCACCCTCGCCTTCTCCCAGAGTCCACAAGTCTGTTCTATACATCTGAGTCTCTTTTTCTGTTTTGCATATAGGGTTATATTTTGATAACCCTTTTCTTAAACATTGTAGTCTGGCCTCTTCCCCTCCTGCATTGTTCTGTGTCACCTTTTCAAGGTATGAGAGTGAATGGATAAGTCCTATCCACCCTTCTCTTTTGAAAATATATTGTAAGAAACCTTGGCCATGTTTTGTCACACACACACAGACACGCAGACACACATATATGCTTTGCTTTCTCATGGTTTTTATCGTCTCATTTCTCTGAAGTCCAGGAGAGTTTCTCTTCTTGTTTGGTCCCTTGGCTGATGTGCTTTGCTTCCAATGTCCATGTTGCTTTCTGGAGTAGAGTTTTATTCTGTTGGGCCTTTTTAATTTTCCTGAACCTTTTCGATCTCTCCCAGTTCTTTTCATGTCAGCCTGATCTATGTTTAATTTTCAAAACCAAAATGATGACTTCTTGTGTCATGAGAAGTCTTAGCTCTTAGCATATTAGAGGTCTTAAGAGTATTAGAGATAAGATGGCTGGGAGTGGAATTATCCTGCCACGCTTGAGCTGTGTGTTGTCAGCTAAGTGATTCAACCCTCTCTGGGTTTCAGCCTGTTTTCCTCCTCTGTAAAAGGGAGTAGTAATGATTATTGCTGTGTTAACCATTAGGGGAAATTAGTTAGTTAATATGTGTCAGTAGTTTGGAATAGTATCTGAAAAGAAGGCACAGGTAGTAATTGTCAGCAGTTATCATCATCACCATCCTTTTCTTCTGCTCCAGATTCATAGAGGTCTCTTCTTACTGAAGTCAACAGTCTTGTAGTTTTCGTTGTTGTTACTGTTAACACTAGCCCCCTCCTCACCCCATACCACTTGGCATATGGGATCTTAGTTCCCTGACTAGGGATCGAACCCACAGCCCCTGAGTGGAAGCACAGCGTCTTAACCACTGGACCACCAGGAAAGTCTCTATTAAAAATTTTTTTTAAAGCATGGTTTTTCTCCCTTGGAGTCCTTGAAATTGTGTTCTGCCTCATTCTTTCTATAGATCCTGTGTATGTTTTTGTTACTCTTGTATCCCTTCCAAAACAAGGAGACCAGCTCTTTCTGAACCTCAGTTAGCAAACAGATTCAGTGTCTGCTTGCTCTGGGCCCTCCTTGTTATCCTTCTTGGTGTTATCCTGCTGGGTGTTGCAGAATCACACTTCAGTTCCACACAGGGTCCAGTTAAGGAGCTCCATTTCCTCTGCCTGGAAGTATCCAGTTAAGGCAGCTCCTCCAGTGAACTGGGAGCCTCGCCTATCTTCTCTCCTGGGTCTCTAACACCCTCCATGGGTGGAAAATATGAAAACCTGACATCTCCCCTGTGAGAGTCCCTCCAGCCACTTCCCTGGACGGAATTACAGCGTATGTGTTCACTCCTGTTTTAATGCTTGACCAGTTGTTATTGGGAAGCTTGGGTTTGGGGGGCTGTTATAATGAAGTACCAGCTGAGTTTTCTGACCCTCCGGCCACCCTACTCACAGTTTCTGTGTTGTGTGGCCTGTCACCCAGCTTTCTGGTTGGCAAATACAGAGAAGCCTGTGCTAAAGTGGAGACGTAGACACC